TACTCTTTAAAGACTCCACATCCTTAACAATAACAAATATCCCACTACTCTAGGATTATAGTAAGATTATATATATTTCCTAATATACCCTCTAAAGTCTAGCTAGTTAGTATACTTATAAAATATAAGGAAGGGATATATATAATTAAGTAAGTTATATAATATTTAGAATATTACTTATATAGTATTAACTTAATAGTATTAAGGGTGTAAGGAATCTTAAATAATTCTTTATTATTAATATTAAAATTATTTACTATAGTATATAAATACTTTAGGTACTATATAAATAATAGCTTTATAGATATTATATATATAGTATATACTAGAATATATAGTAGCATGATATTAATAAGTAGTCTTAATAAAATAACTATAAGAGTAATAAAGTCTAATAAAATAAAGATAGAAACCTTAAGAAATAAGGCTAGAATAAAGGTGTAAGATAAATAAAGTATTAAATATAGAAAAAAAAGAGAGAAGAAAGAAAATAAAGAACTAAACTACTATATAAAATAAAGAAGTAATATACTTTAGTTATTTATAATAATTATATTATTTATATTAATATTATTAATTATATAATAAAGAGCATACCATAACAAAGGCTTTATACTAATATAATAATATTATATTAATAGTAATTCTATAATATTACTATACCCTTAATATGCCATACTAATAGTTATTACTATTTTAAGAAATCTTAAAGCTATATATAACTATGGATAGTTATTATAGTAAGAAGGGGTATAATTTATAATAGATTAAGTATAGCTTCTATATTATTTTTCCTTAATTTATATTATACTTATAGATAGCTATATTAAGTATACTATTTTTAATTACCTATTTTCATACCTTAAGATGCTTATAAAAGACTACTATAAATATAATATATTATTAATAAAGATATATATAGACCCCCTTATCTGATAGGTTAGGAAGATAAGAATTAGTCTTATTATTAACTAATATACTATTCTACCATACTATTCTAACTAAGTACCCTATCCTTTATCATTTCTAAGAGGCTTACCTAGTTAACAGGCTTATCTACCCTGTCTAGTGGATTATCCTTACACTAAGATAGTTTAATTTTATTAAATATATTTTTTTTCTTTCTTTTCTTCTTTAGAGTAGAGTTATTAATAATATCTTTATAATAATATTTTTCTTTTAAGTCTAAAGGACTAATAAAAAAAGACTTAATCTTCTTAAAAGTAAGAGAAATAATATTAAGATAATAATAAATTATATCTAGCTTATTAGCTATAAAGTAACTAAACTAAAGAAGATTAAAGATATTATAATTATTATTAAAAAATATATTTATCTTTAATATAAATAGAAAAGAAGTAAAGTTTATTATAATCTTATTAATTTTTAAATATATTATAGTAGTAGGGCTAGAATTACTAGGTAAGAATTCTATAATCTTTTTATAAAATATTTTTAAAGATATTAACTTAGACTTAATAACTTCTCTATTAATAAAAAACTAATTAAGAATTAGACTTCCTTCTTTAAAAATTATAAGTAGATTATCTTTTTTAAAAATTATTTTACTCTAGTTAGTAGTATATAAATAATAATAAAAAGAGAGAGTTTATATATATTAAATTAAGAATTCTAGCCTTAATTTCTATTAATATAATATAAGTAGGCTATAGCTTTATTATTCTAAATATAATTAATATAAATATCTATAAAGAAAGCTTACTATTAGTTATTAACTAAAAAATAAAAGATAAATATATATTATTAAAATATTCTTATATTATATTTATAGGATTTACACCCCCCTTTATACTTAATTCTATATTAATAGAGAAGAATAGTATTCTAATAAATCTTAGATATAACTTTTTTCATAATATTAATATTATTTTAAGATATCTACTTAATCTCTTAAATAATATTTAATAACTTAATAAAACTTAACTAAATCTTATTTAGAGTAAAAGTGTAAGATCACCTACTAAAGGTTGATATCAACTGGTATTACTTCTAAAGTAAGTAGGAAGAGTTCTAAAGACCTTCTCTTTAAAAGAAGTATAGTCTACTAGACTTTTAGCTTTAAGTAGTAGGTTCTACTATCTTATACTATTTTATATAGAACTAATTAAAAGTCTACTCCTTCTAGGAATAAATAACTAGCTTAAAGGACCTTATATATTTTTAATTTAATTATATTATACTATTACTAATTCTATTATCTCTAAATAATTATTTTCTATAATGGGCCTCCAGCATATAAAGATTTAGAATTAACTTAGTATAATCTAGATAAATAAATTAGTCTATATCTATATGAATAGTAGGGTGTTGGATAGGCTAGATAAGGGGTAGAATACTAAGCTAGATAGTAATCTACTAGATAAGATAGATATTAAATAACACCACTAAGCTATCTAATATGAGGCCATCTAGGAAGCTAATTTAGGGCTGGAAGATAAAGAAATTCCATATATAAAGATCTTCTAAGATAATCTATAGCTTGATATTAATGATGAGGGTGATTTAGGAGGTAATTCTAGAGAGAAATTAGCTAATTAGCTTACACTACTATAGTAAGTGCTTGGAAAACAGCCCTAAGAGGTGTAAAATTAGATTCTACACCTAAGATTTAGTAGTATTCTATGTTTTTACGCGTTGAATAGCTTCATATTTGAATTTTTTTTTGTGTTTTACTAGGGGGGCAGCTGTGTTGCTAGATACCCTAGATTACTAGTAAATTACTAGTAGAAGTGGGTCAAAATAACACACTTTTTTATGTTAAGAAAAACACCCAGAAAACCGTGACATTTTAACATTTTGACATTTTAAATACCACCCCTACCTCCATCAGCAGGACCCACTCCGTCTCCTTTTCACTTTCTCCGAAAATTGCCATCCGTGTTCTCTCCGACGAAGTCAAACGAGCCAAGTCTTCCTTTCTACAAACCACAACCCGATCCTAAATCATACCGAGCATCTACCGGTCATCGGGACGAGATGGAACCCGTCAGCTATGTTGACCCGAATCTGACTCGGTCGGACCTCCTGGTTCTGCAGACCCTGCTCTCGGACATTCAGGCACAATCATCCGGCCCGAAACCCGCCGTTCAAGGTAGACATTCCCTTTCCATGTTCGAAATTATGATCCGCTGAGACCCTCAAATATGTCCCATCCCAAAACAACTCGCAGTGCAAATCTGTCCCTGAGCAACTGGAAGCCTTCAACAATCCTCAGCATGTTGACTTTGAGCCTACCGTCACCATGACCTGGGACGCTGCTGATCTCAAGGCCAAACTCCCGTCTGCTGTTAACCATTGGCTCCTCCAGCCATACATTCACCTGGGACGAAGAGTTGTCCGGGTGGAAACTGACGTCGTGATGCTCACTCATCTCATCCTGTACTTTACCACGTCCGTCCCCAGTGCACTCTACCTGTACTATCACTTCACTTGGGTCCATGGCGTCCTTCACTGGATCATGCAGTCGTACTACGTGGGAACCTACACGCTCATGATGCACCAGCACATCCACATGGGCGGAATCCTAGCCAAGCGATTCTGGCTCTTTGACTCGCTCTTTCCCTACATCACCAATCCACTCATGGGACATACGTGGAACTCGTACTACTACCATCACGTCAAGCATCACCACGTCGAAGGGAATGGACCCGGTGATTTATCCTCGACAGTCAGGTACCAACGAGACGAGTTATACGACTTTCTGTGCTATGTCGGCCGATTTCTATTTCTCGTGTGGTTCGAGCTTCCAAGCTACTTCTTCCGAAAAGGCCAGTTCTTCCAAGGTCTCAAGGCGGGTTTCTGGGAGATAGGAAACTACCTCTTCATCTACGGGATGTATCGCTTCGTGAATGCTCATGCAACGCTCTTCGTTTTCATCCTTCCCTTGTTTCTCCTCCGATTGGGCTTGATGATCGGGAACTGGGGACAGCACGCCTTTGTTGACGAGACAGACCCCAACTCGGATTTTAGGTCTAGTATCACCCTGATTGATGTTCCGGTACGATTGCCTGTCTCCCTTGACTACCGCCGCTAACAATAACAGAGTAACCGCTTCTGCTTCAATGATGGCTACCACACCTCTCACCATCTCAACCCCCGCCGTCACTGGCGCGAGCACCCGGTGGCGTTTCTCAAGCAAAAGGACCGCTATGCGAGCGAGCATGCGCTGGTCTTCCGCAATATCGACTATCTGATGATCACCTACCGGCTCATCCGGAAGGACTATATGCATCTGGCCAAGTGTCTGGTCCCGATGGGCGATCAAATTTCCATGTCGGTCGCGGAGAGAGCCGCCATGCTGCAGAGCAAGACCAGAAAGTTTACCGAGGCGGAAATTGCGAGGAAATTTGGAGTGAGTCGGTAGACATCTTACCCCGGTCGGTCGCTATCCCGGCACCAGCACCAGTCCTGTATATGATGGTTCCTCGGCACAATCATGTATATATTTAATTTCTCTGGTCCTTACCTATATTTTCAGCTTTAGATAGACTTAGCACGACAGTCAAGGAACTGTACATGTCAAACCAGCGAGACAACAAATAGAATCGATTGCTGTAAGCGATTGACTTGTCCCTGTTGATCTCTAGTCTATCTGTCTAAGAATGCTATGCACACATTCGGCAGTTTAGATGAAGTATAAAGCCGAAGTCCAATCTATTTCCCTCCGTAGTTCGTGGATCTGTTCCCTGGCCACGCACGCGCAACGGACGGTGACATGCATACCCGTCACTCCACACAGCGTACGTGAATAGCTCAGCCCGACATCCCACCTTCCTCACTCCGAAGGGGAATCTTCCTCCTCCTTGGCTGGCGCAGGTGCCTGCTGCATCTGCATCCGCCTCATCATCTCCGCAGCCTCGAACGCATACTTGCATTTCATCCGCAGCGCCCCACCGTAGCGATACATGACAAACGGGAAGGGCATGCAAGCCAATGTCAAAAAGGCCGGTAGAGAGCTCGCCCAGTGAATCCCGAGACTGTCATACATCTGGGTAGTAAACAAGGGAAACACGGCGCCGACGATCGAGCGGAAGATGGCCGCGGCTGCAAGGACGGAGGCGTGCGTGGATGGTGTAAGCGTCAATCAAGTAGTTAACCATCGGCAGGATGACGAGAACGCAGCCGAAGCCGAAGGGTGCGGAGAGGATGATGCTGACGGACCAGTGGATGCGGGGGTAATTGGTCCAGGCGAAGCCGAACATGCCGACTGGTAGGGCGACAGCGATGGCGGGTGGGAGTCGGGATTCGGCAGTTGCTGATTTCGATAGCAGGAGTTTTGTATAACGTCTGTTGTTGTCGTAGATGGCGTAGACTAATCCGATGATGATACCGGCTGCAATACCCATGAAGGCGAGCCCGCCGATGCCCTCGCTCCAGCCGCGTTGTTCGTTGTAGACGATGGGCATGGCGCTCATGAACATGTATACGGTGCCGTAGATAATGGCCATGTAGAGTGAGGCAACCATGACGATGGGCTCCCGGAAGAGCAGGACCCAAGGCCGTATGAGAGCTCGCTGGAAGACCTCTGACGGCTTCTTCTTGCCTTGGTTCTTTTCGAGAACACTGATGTAGACCTTACCATTAGCCTTGGACAGTTGGTTTGCCCTCCTGATCAACAGCACCGGGCCATATGTCTCCGGGACGAAGATGACGCCGATGATACCTATCACTCCGATAAAGATGCAGCACACCCCCTGGACCCATCTCCATCCAACGTTTTCGGAGACGAACCCGCCAACGATCGGACCGAGGATGGGACCAAGAAACGGTGCGACACAGTACAGTGTCATGGCGAGGCCTCTCTGAGCCGGGGGGAAGAGGTCTGCGATGGCACCGCCCGAATTGACCAACGGTGAGCCACCGAATGTGCCACTGAAGAATCGCAACACCAGGAGGGTGGCGACGTTTCGACTTCCAGCGGAACCTCCGGTGAAGGCCACCATGGCGACGTGAGAGACGATCCAGAGAGCTTGTCTTCCGTATAGTTCGGATCTACAAGGCACAGTTAGGTTGGAAGTTACCTGCGTATGGCAGATAAAAGAGACTTACTAAAGAGGAACAGGTTGTCAGCTGGTGTATTAAGGGCTTCAAATAGAGGATGCGCTTACCAAGGGACCCCAGACTGCTGGGCCAATTGCAAATCCCAAAACAAAGAGGGAGAGACCAACTGTAAACACCTCTGTGCTGATGTCGAAGTCTGGAATGAGCTCGTTTGCAGAGTATGCCGAAGATGTAAAGGTGATGGCAAAGACAGAGAAGGTCACAATCGCCGTGATGAACCATTTCCTGAATTGAGACCAGTTCATCAGGTTTCCTGGATCATCCTTTTGGAATTCTACTATGAAAGGGTCTTCTTGGGTGCCTTGACCATTATAGACGCGGGTTTGCTGGACCTCAGGATCCGCGGCTGTCTTGGAGTTGGCACTGGATCAACCTGGGGCGCCTCCCTGGAAGCTATGCGCGCAATCTATCGCGGCGTAGTTATCCCGCAGCTCCTATATAGGGTAGCAGCATGGTTCAGCCCTGCCAGCAGGCTGATCCCAGCAGGGGAATAGACTAAGGTCATTAATGAATTCACTAAGATCTAGAAGCGCGTAGCTATTCTGATTAGTAATGCCTTCTAAGAGACTGCTGCAGCTATGCTAAACATGGAACTACACCTACTACTAATCCACTTATAGATGCAGTAGATCATTAAGGAAACTGCTATCTAAATCTAGATAGGACTATACTTTATGTGCCCGCAAGGACTTATAGGAAAGCTATAACTAACTAGAGAAATATAGCAGAGTGGCCTTACCCTGCTAGAGGTACTTAGGAGGTAAGGTAGCCTGCTAGCCCCTACCCTAAGATACCTAGAAGAATAGGAAATATAGATAGTATATATACTCCCCCTATAGGAGCTACCCCTCTATTATATAATTAAGAATCATGAAGCTATACTAATAACCTATAATAAGATATATAAAGAGGTAGATAACTAGTATATAATTATCTATACTAATAGCAGCAGCTACCAGGGCTATGTAGGCACCTTAGCTATCTATCTCTATAACTAATAGATCTGCTAAAACCACCTAGGCATAGAGATAGACTTAACTATATATACTACTAAGCTAGATAGAATCTATATAGTAATAGATATAGCTATAGAACTAAGCCTCTATTTACTCACCCTCTTTACTAATAGCTAGGCTACTATCTAGATAGTCTAGAATCTATATCACCCCTCTAGCTAATACATTCTGTATACTATATATAGAAGTATACAGGCCCTAGGGGCATGTGGGCTACCTCTAGAGAATATTAAGATATACTAGATCCCTGCCTATATAGGTGTGGCAGGGAATAAGGCTATAGATAAGATAGTAAAGGAGGCTACTATATAAGGTAGTAAGATTAAATTAAGCTTAAAGAAGTAACTAGAATAACTAATTATCTAGCTTACTATAGTAGCTAAACAGGCTGTCTATTAATAAACCTAGTAATACTAGAAGAAATAGTGGGAGATAGAGAAGAGGGCTAAGCTAATATAGTAGCTAATTAAGGCCCCCTATAAGAAGAATCTAGGGCTCTATAAAGGCCTACTAAAGCTGTATATATTAATTATTATCTAGATATAGACTATATAGATTAGTCTATAATACTTTCTCTTTAAGATTAAGGCCTATAACTTAGACTAGTATAGCTATAGAGAAGAGTCCTAAACCCCTAAGTATATTCTCCTATAGTATTTACTATATATAGAAGCCCACAGGAAGATAATTACTAAGCTATATAATATAGAGGGAATCTAGGGGAAACTATTAGACTATAATATACTTATATCTAATCTATAGGCAATCTACTATATTACTAAATTTATGTACTAAACAGGCCTGCTTAGCTAGTTTTACTATGCTGAGATAACAGAATTAGTAGAATTAACAGGGCAGGACCAGGAATATAGAAGCCTCCTACAAGGCTCTAGAATAGATATGGAAGATGATGGTTAAATAGACTAAATAGCTGCCTAGGAAGGGTCTTCCTAGGCGCGGAATCACACTATGCTTAGAATAACTACATAGAATAAGGTGGGATAGGTATTACATTAGATGGCATAGGGGAGATGTAGCTAGGTGGCAGGCTACTTTAGTTATATAATCTACTTTTAATATAGCTATATACCAATTTCTTATGTCTTCTCCACATTTATGGGCTTTATGGATAGGTATTTAGTTACTAGATTCCTGCTTTATTTGGTGAAGCGCCTGCATAGCTAATTACTTCAATAGATAGGCTATATCAGGTTAATAGAATCTTGATTGATTGATTGATTGATTGATAGTCTTGGAGTCGGCTTGTTGAGACATGCTTCAACACTTGAGCGTTCAAGGTTTATGAAAGGAATGTCACGGAAGAAATGAGTGATAATAAGCATGCAGTATTCCATTTATAAATTGCTCTGGTCTCCAAGATTTATAGCTGATGTGACAGTCTCAAAAAATGTATAGAGGCGGACCTCTGTTTCATTGGCTGTCATGCTTGCACTGTTCAATGCGCGGAAGTAAAGCTGACTGGCTGAGACATTCACTTCAGCCAGTTATATAGCTTTCCGCTACGGAGATACGAGTGAGCGGATAATAACATGATTGGTAGCTAGTTTAATGCATTGGCTTTCCAATGTCTTCGTGTTGTCTGAAGTGCGGACATCTCCAACTCCACTGCCTTTGTTCATGTAAGCTTTAATGCTTTATCTATGGAACGAAGCAACTGGTGAAGTTGATGTATTGAACAAGTCTCGCAATATGAGAAACCATCAAGAAAACATATCGAAACCATTACGCAGGGAGCGGTTGAAAACCTCCATCGCTTGCCAAGCTTGTCGGATGAGAAAGTCGAAATGCGATGGCAATCGTCCGGGTATCCCTGACCCATTCATAGTGTCCTCCTAAAGACTGACTGACAATGTCGTACGCAGCCTGTACTAAGTGCCTGCGACGAGAAAAGCCCTGTACGTACAGCATTGATTCCAGCGCCATCGAGCGACAAACAAAACGCAAACCCCTTGTCCCAAAGGTGCGAACAATCCGCAGTCACATTCCCTTTGCGGCCTCGTCTCCAAATATAGGAGCTTACCCGCTTGCGACTCCGTCGACCTTGTCCAGATCAGAGCATGTCGAGGAAAGCCAACAGCCAGAGCTTGATCGGGATCAAAACCGTGCGTACTACAGCACCCATGGACAGTTTGCTGGCGAAGTCGCAGCCGCAATAGATGTGAGAGCAGGACTCGTCCCGGCCGCTACTTCGAACCTTGTTCCATTCGTGGATGCGCCGTTGTTCGGGGTGTTAGACCTGCACTCTCCGTATAGTGTTCTAATTTCGGCCACGGAATTGCCTACCCGCGATCATGCTGATAGCCTTGTCTGTGTATATTGGCAATAAGTCGATCCCTTGGAGCCGGTCTTGAGTAGAGAACGCTTCTTACACGATTATGAGGCAACGTACTCTCGACCTGATGCACCGCTCCACGCGGACCGTGATATCTGGCTCAGCATACTCAACGTTGTCTTTGCCCTAGCAGTGCAGAGACAGGAATTCATTCCTCCACAGCAACGTGACAAAGAAGGGAATCGCTTTTTCCAGCGCGCCTGGGCTCTTCTCCGGCCCGAGACAATCCTATGGAAGCCTGGAACGCTCGAGCTGGTCCAGTGTTTGATGCTTATGAATCGATACCTCCACTGCACCAGCAACCAACTGAAGACATGGATGACAGCGGGGTTGGCAATCCGGATTGCGCAGAGTATGTGTTGCCATCTGCCCGAGGGGTCTTCAGCCAAGCATTCTTGCAATGACAGGATGTTGAAACAAAAGGTATGGGCTAGTTGTGTAGCCCTAGACCGGTAGGTTCCCCAGATATAAACAAATGTAGTTTCGAGTCATCACTGACTCAGCCAGATGCGTTTCGTGGTCACTCGGCCGGGCATCGGCGCCGTCCTTGATCCCCTTACCGAACAGGCTAAGGCCATGTCTACACGGGGAAGCTACCTACAGGGCGGTAATCATGCTGAGCATCTTTCACGAGAGCTTCATGAAATTGGCAACCAGATTCAGTTGGCACAGACACAGACTCGCAATGCTCTCGCTGCCAGGTTGGGACTGCCTCGTCTATATCAACAGGACGACTACCACGCTGTGGCGGTGCAGCTAGACGCCTGCCTCAACAAATGGGAGAATGGTCTTCCCAGCGACTGGAAATTGCAGAATATCAACAAGGTTGTCCACAGGATATCGTGAGCAGAGCGATATCTGCTTCACCTTCGGTATGCCACTGTTCCACTGTTTGTTCGTTTCAAGGTTCAGTCAGTAAGTAGAGAAAACAACCTGACTAACACCGACATTAGTCTCCTTCACTCTCGAAACGTTCTGTACAGACCTATGATCGCACGCCTCTACTCCATGAAACCCCACCAGGCAACAACCCAGCCACAACCCAATCCTCCAAGCCTAAGCGATCGTCTCCTCAGAGAATGCGCCGCAATGTGCCTGGAAGCCGCGCAGAAGCTCACCTCGCTGATCATCGAGACCCTGGAGCCAAACGAACCAATGGGTCTCCTGCCCTGGTGGTATCGAATCTACTATCTACATATCGCAGGGACCAACTTTCTAGCGGACCTGTTCACCACGTCGGTGTCGCAATCCTGGAAAGAGGTCCTGTCAGCCCTCCGCGCGCATGAGCATTTGAGCATGTATGTTCAACAGTGCATCCGGACATTTGAGATGCTCTCGACAAGGATCTTGGAGACGCAATATACCACCCCGGATCGAACTGGGGGGATGCCGCTTGAGGAGGCGACATCTGGGTCGCTGTTCGATAACATATTTCAGGATTTAGGGTTTGATTGCGATGGTTTTCTCTTTGGAATGGAGCATTTTACTGAGGGCATACGACCTAGTTCGAGCTGATAAAGATAAAATGATGAGATTTTGTGGTAGACATAGCATAAACAGCAATTCCTATACAGTACCCGTCGGAGACGGTGAAGGACACAAATAATCCTTTAACTGGCTGGTAAGCCTGGTAGCTAAGTCTTTAGGACCACATACTGGCTCCATCACATAATCCAAAACATTTCGTATCGAATACTTGAGAATAGCTCTATGAGAACAAGTTCGGAACAGTAACTGTCCCACCGTCAACATGAGAAAGGATCTAAACCAAGACAGGTCTAGATGCTTCGCTTGGATCTTGAATCTCGTATTCCGTCCAGCCGTCAGACCCGGGTCTCTTTCCCCTCAACGCATATTTGGTAGTTGAGAAAGATAGTGACCTCCAGTCAAAAAGCAATCCGGGACTAAGAGACAATATCGCCGGCTGGAATAGGATGTCTCACATCACTCCCAAGACCCAGCAAGCATATGATTACGAGCCTCTGCCCAACCCCACATCAATCCGACTCCTACGAGTGGACCAGAAAGACCCCGATGGCTTGATACACTGCACCATCAAATCCGTCGATTTGAATGATGAGCCTCTGTACCATGCCATGTCCTACACCTGGGGCAACCCGCACAGCGAACTCGCCCAGGCCCAGGAAACTCGCGACAGGTACTCAGAGAATTATCCCCCAGAACACAGAGAACGTATATCTGTCAACGGAAAGTTATTATACATCACGCGAAATGCGTATGACGCGCTCGTCTCCATCCCCAGAGACGCATGGGCGAAATGCTGCAACCGAGGTAATCGGAGGAAACTTCTCCGGACATCGCTTCATTGGGCGTCTATCGCGGGGAAGGAGGAACTGATTCAGCCGCTTTTGTGCGCTGGTGTGGATGTTAACGTCAGTGATGAATGGTGGGTTACGCCGTTGAGTTACGCGGCGCAGGTGGGCAGTCGCGAGGGCGTGGACTTGCTGCTTTCTGCTGGTGCGGATGCGCGCATTGCGGATAATCGGGGGAATACTCCGCTTGACTATGCGAGGCAAGGTGACTATACGGAGATTATCCGGTGTCTGGAGGAGGTCGAGCAGAAGGGAGGGAGACTCGAGCCGCGAGCAGGTTGGCCCGAAGGGCCCGAGAGATGGTGCTGGATCGACCAGATTTGCATCAATCAGAAGGATATCGCGGAGAGAGGAGCGCAGGTTGCGATCATGGATCAGATATACAAGAACGCAGCTTTTACGCTTGTCTGGCTCGGACCCGAAGATTCCTACGCCGATATGGCCATCAAGACCATCGAGAAACTGGATACCGCGGCAGGAGACTTCATCCGAAGCACGGAGATACAACCATATAGAGAGCAGCCTGAAGAGATCTACGATGCTGCAAAGATACCCTATGTTTCGATGGAAGAGTGGACTTCGCTCGCCGCCCTCTTCCAACGTCCATACTTCAGACGGCTCTGGATCGTCCAGGAGAACATCCTCTCGGACATCATCATGGGCTACTGCGGGAGTCATGAGCTCCCGTGGAAAGCATTCCACACCGTGGCACAGCAGATCTACTTTCGACAAAAGTTGCTGGGTCGACCGACGTCAACTGCGTTTATTGCGCCCCATCGGCCAGTGTCAGCTCTCGAAAGCGAGATGGTATATCTCACGCAGTGGCGGGAGCGGTTGCAGGAGGGAGACAAGGCCACCGTTCCTCGGGAGCTGTCGCTGGAGAATCTCGTCTTCGACACCTGGACCTTCAACGCAACCGATCCTCGCGATAAAATCTTTGGGCTTTACGGTCTACTCAGTGAGGGCGGTACGGTCGACTGGCATCCGGACTACTCTCAGTCCGTAGGAGAAGTGTTCGCCCAAGCGACAAAGGAGATTATCCAGAAGGCAGGCGAGTTGCGCATTCTATCCGCCGTTCACGACGAGTCCCTCCGAAACATCGTGGATCTACCCTCTTGGGTTCCGGATTACAGCGCGAACTTCTGCAATATGATGTGCGCCAATCATCGTGCAGCTGGAGTTACGGCCATGAGATCCATCCTCGGTAGCTCGTGGAACAAACTTCCCGTGACTGGTGTCAAGTTTGACTCGGTTCTCGCGATAGGAAACACCACCAGCGGACCAGGCCAGATGTCCATGTTCTTCGATCAAAGGTGGCTGGAACTCGCGCTGCTTCTCCCTGTCCCATGCCACACCGGCCAGACGAGGACAGAGGCGCTGTGGCGCACCCTCTGTGCGGACCAGGCGCTTGATGGCTCAACGCCAGCTCCTGCGTCCTACGGGGACAGTTTCAAAGCAATGGTGTGCAGTCTCGTCTGCGTCAAAGCTGCCGAAACAGCGCGCGCGGCGGAAAAGGATCCGGAGAATGTCATTGATCTCCTCTCGGCTTCATACCATGTCCGGAAGACCTGGTCGAGCCCACCTCTCTCGGAATTGTCGGTGGAGGAGCTCACGCGTGCTGTCGCAGACCCGGACACGAATCTCAGTCAGCCGGATCGCCAAACATTGTCTCACTTGTTGTATAAGTTGCAGTTTCTTGGAGTTGCTGAAGACAAGTGCTTTACACCCTCTATCGATGAGGTTGAGAAAGTATACTACAGTTCCTCATGGCTACCCTGGGATGAGAGCGAGACATTACAGCTTCCTAGAGAGGGACAAGAGTTTTACAATGCGTTGAGACAGAAACATGGTCGACGGAAGCTATTTGTCACTGCTAATCGATACCTCGGACTGGGACCGGCCTCGATGGTGGTTGGGGATGAGGTGTGGGTTTTGGCGGGCTCGGGCGCCGCGATGGTGCTAAGAGGAGCTGAGAGGGAGCATGAATTCCGTTTGGTTGGGGAAGCCTATGTGCATGGGATTATGAATGGGGAACAAGCTGGAAATGATATGAAGTTGCGGGATATTAGTCTAGTATAACAAAGTTGGATAGATTTCACTCGATAATCCCAAAATGCAAGTTGACCATATTCCAGACCTTTTCATGATCTCGATGTAAGAGTACGTCGACGCTACGTTTGTAAAGCCCACCTCCCTTCACAATATGGGCTCAGGCAGTATCTACCGGGCATGCGCCGGCAGCCGAAACCCTAGAAATGGGAGGTATTTCCCCGGATGCCAGGAGACGAACAATGCCGCACATGGGAAGATTGGCAATGCATCAAAGACATACAGGCACCACTCGTGCAGATTAATATATCCGTCCTTGCTTTCAGTAAATTCGACCAGACGGTAGACCGAACGTATCTGCAGACAATAGTCAGTGATAGTCCAACATGAGAAAGAAGCTGTATAACACTCACAAGAATCATCAGAGTAGACAGGTTGACTACTCTCAGCAGAACATTCCAGTTAGCACTCTTCCTCGGGCCACCGGATCTTGCACCGCTGCTCTCAAGCATTTTGAATTGCTCGCCAACAGACTTGGCGAACTATTTCGACGTGAAGTTGAAGCGAAACGCAGCAATGGAGAAGAGCCCAAACGCGATCAACTGGACTATGACACCAATCAGTGCAATGGTGCGACCATGGTTGAACTTATCCTTTGCACTACTGCTGGTACCGTCGGCAGATGTGATCAAGACTGCACCGCCTAGCTGAAGCAGCAGGGCCACAATATCAAAGCCCACGAAGATCGGGGTGATAAAGCGAGGAGGAACCCAGCAGAGTTGAAAAGTTCGTGCTTCAGCTGGGACGATGAGGAAGAGGATACGACCGAAGAGGATATAACAGCAAGCGGCCATCAGGACGGGCGCGAGGATGATAAGAGAGAATTGAAGTACGTAAGGGGAGCGTTCAGAGACGTGCTGGGCCGATATAGAGCGGGAAATGAAGCCTATTGCTTCCACTTTGATGTTTTAGTTAGGATAGTTGCCAATATCTGGTGCCTTCATCGCAAATATGCACTTACTAGCCACTGCAATAACCATGATGATCCACACCCAAGCTCTGTATCGGATCCATTGAAAAACAGCCAGGACAAAGGTGACCGAGTACAAGACTGCAAACACAATGGCAGCACCTAAAGAAGGGCTGTATTCGTAGTAGGACGCCTTGTACTCCCGTGGCAGATGCATTGGTATAATAGGAAACATCCGTTATCGAGTTCGAGTGTCAGAAAATAGACTATACTGTCTCTGATGTTCCGTGTTGCGGCCTCCGCTGGTATATATAATAGCTCCATCATGAACTAAATGCCGTTCAAGGATCGGCACTCGGACACAAACGCGTAGTCCGAAGAAAGGGAATGTATTTCGGGACACCGCCACACTTTTCAGTCTTTAGGCAGCTATTATCTCTGTCTCACAATCAAGTCTGTCCCCCTGAAGAATCCTAAACTTCAGATGTTTGATGAGACAAGAGCTGCACTGAAGAGGACAATCTTCCAGCCAATAAAAGGCATTTTTTTCCCATCTCGGTCAGCGGACTTCGCTTGGAGAACCAATTATACGGAAGGAACTATCCTGATTGGGCTAGCGAGGACGAAATACTTGCCTCATTTGGCAAGCGCGGTGGGCGCCTCGCTACTGCCTAAAAGGGTTAGGGTCAGCATCGCCTCTTTCATCGGTCTCTGTCTACGGAGATGTTTCATGTCATCATCTACGACATTCAAGCTTAGGAAAGGAGTCTCCTTTCCGGCAGTCGATGTGTGGCTGAAGATGATGCTTGATAGTGTGACATCTGCGGCTCTCAAGCAATAAGCCTAGATCGATCTTTTCCACACATCCAAGATCTGGCCGATCCACGTCTTCTAAAACTATCCAGTTAAATCTAATTCATCGGCAAATACGGATCTAATCTCCTAAACATCTTTCATTTAATCAGGGAGTACATCGGTCCGTCAACCGTGCAGCGACAAAAATGCCTTTTTGTTGTCGTCCAAGCAAATTTTGTCTTGGGTGCCGCCAGGGACGCATCAAAGTAGGCGATCTTTCGCAGCAGGGCAAGGAACCATACTGACCTGACAGTGTGACATGGCCGTCCCTGCCTGCTCCCAGTGTAGAAGAGCTGGCAAGGAATGTGTGGGCTACCGAGATGAGCTGCCTCTGTTGTTCAGAGACGAGAATGCTCGCACCATCAGACGAGCTACAGCTGCCAAGGTTCGATCCAGAGCTCAAAGAAAGGATGCAGGATGCGATTCCACTTCTTCACCTGGTTTGCAGCTTATGAGGTCTGGTCATGGGACTATCACGGCTACCTCATTACCCTCAACCTTGCCATGCCTTGACATGGACAATCTTGGGCTCCAATTCTTCGTCTATCATTTCTCCACTTACGCCTGGGCCGGCCGATACCCACCTCAGCCCATTGCATCTCCTTTTATGCACCGAGTCAGTGAAGACGAGATGCTAAGAAGTGCGGTCGCTTCGGTCGGTTTAGCTGCCCTCTCGAATATTCGAAAGGATGAGGCGATCTTACGTGGAGCACGCCAGCAGTATGGCCAAGCCATCAGAGTAATCCAGAACGCATTGCGATCTAAGAAGGCTTACCTACTGGAGGATACCATGAAGATGATTTTGATGGTGGCTCTATTTGAGGTAGGAGGCAGCTACCCATCCCCTTGCAGGGGATAGTGAATCTGATCGTCGTCAATGCAGATTGTTGACGCCAGCCCGACGTCAAAGTTATCATGGATTGTGCATTTGCAAGGTGTAGCAGCCTTGCGGAATCGGTCACCGCGAGACTTCTTCCGCAAGAACCATCGTGTTCATATCATGTTCACATTTACTTTGATTTTCAAATACTTTCAGACCGGAGGACGGTTTCCATTGGAGTTAGAAAGTAGGTCGGCGCCGGATATACCGGTTGAGGCCGACGATGATCTTCCTGCCGTCTCACTGATCGAGATCCTCCTCAAATTCATCCGTCTGCGGGCCTGTCTCGTTGATTACAATGATCAGCCAATAGGTAATGCTTTGACGGAGGCACTGGCCTGCGAAATGCAACTCGAGGTCTGGTCAACTAGCCTTCCTGCCAAATTTGGTTGCATGGAGAAAGTTTCAACAGACACCTCGCAATACTTCCATGGTCGCTTCCACCTTTATCAGGACGTCTGGGCTTCGCGAATTTTAATCTATTATCGCGTGGGCCGTCGCCTGGTGAACGAGCTGATATTACACCTCGCGTCCAGATGTGAGACCTCAACGGAGCAAATACTAGAGACGGCTCATGCCAGAAATACGATTATTTAGATGGCTGTCAATATTTGCGTAGCTGCCGCAAGTCAGCCTCTGTTTCTGGATTATATGAGTCTCAACAAAAGAGATTATATGAGCCTCAACAGAAACGACGCAATGCCTCCGCTTAGTGGTGTCTTCATGTTGATGTACCCCCTTGCGGTGGCTGCATCTGCGAGTGGGGTGTCCGATGACCTCCGTGAATGGGTGTTGCATACTCTCGATCATATTGGTCAGACCATGGGTATCCGTCAGGCTTTGTTGATGAAGGCCGAGGTAGCACAGTCCTATCAGCACAGGGTCCAAAGTCAAATATACTGCCATCCTACGGAGACTTCATCGAGCCTCTGAAATTCACGCGTGTAAAATCGCGATGCATGCTTAAGCTGACTGACACACGTATAGACCGGTCCCGAGAGCGCTCTCGTCCGTCTACATTGTCTGCAAATTCACGTGAAAAGGGCGGCATTTTCACTTAAATCAGCACGACGCTCAAACACATTATCATATTCTCAAGTCTGTTTTTGGTCGCCTGTTGAAGGGCTGCTCTTATCAATTCCGCATACAGAAGACGGGTAAGGTACAATTTGCAAAACTGGCTGCCTGTCTCCACTCCTCAGCCCTTTTCTTAATAATAATGGGTCCATAGCATGTATGCTTTTAGCCACAGACCTGCCAAACAACGTTGATACAGGGTCGTTGGGTGTATAATATTCGGGTTCAGACAAAGGGGGTAACGAAGGCTGAACAGGGCAAGCAAAGAAAAAGAAAACATACGGCGGACTATTTGTACAAAAGGGACTTTTGGATTTTTTTACTGTTTACCGCATGTATTACCTATTGCCACTACCTCCACACAATATTAAAAGTTATATCAATATCAAATTCTCATATAGTAGGGATATCAAATTGAATCGAATAGTATCAATATTAAATTCTTATATAGTAGGGATATCGAATCAAATTCTCATATAGTAGGGATATCGAATCGAATAGTATCAATATCGAATTCTTATATAGTAGGAATATTAAATCCTTATATACTAAGATAGTGCCCCTATATACAGAGTAGTTAGAATTTATATATTTAAGACTTAGGGTACACCCTACCACTTATACTACATATTCAGAATATATATAAGTATAGTGGTATTTAATATCCTACTACTATACCTCTATAAGAATTATATATTACTACTATTCGATTCGATAACCCTACTATATGAGAATTCGATTCAATATTGATCAATTCGATATCCCTACCATATGAGAATTCGACATTGATACTATTCGATTCGATATCCTTACTATATGAGGATTTGATTCGATATCCCTACTATATAAGAATTTGACATTGATACTATTCGATTCGATATCCTTACCATATCATCATATGAGAATTCGATTCAATATTGATACTATTCAATTCGATATCCTTACCATATGAGAATTCGATATTGATACTATTCGATTTGATTTGATATCCCTACTATGTGAGAATTCAATATTACTGCAGTGCGTGCAACTGTAGGGAGGGTAAGTGTAGTGAGATGTAATCATTGTAAAAAAACCAAAAGTCCCTTTTGTACAAATAGTCCGCCGTAAAACATACAACAGCTAAGTTAGCTGGGCCTGCTGAGGTAATCAAAACAATCATCTTGAGGACTCTTGCTAGGCTTTCATCAAAATTGTCTTCGAACATTACATTCGCAATGCCTATAATATCCCGCTTCTTGGTCAGAGCACAAACGGCCCTTCTAACGTCAGCTAGAGAGACTCGGTCGCACTTTTTAAGTCGACGTTGTTCTCGTCGACTTCCGGAAGGCCAGATGGCTACTATTGTCGGGGATCCGCGTGATTTCTTCAAATATACAAGTGGACGGTGGATCTGGGATGAAGAGGAGCAGCTCCGGGAAAGATACCGTGAATTTGATATACTTGAACTGCAGAAAGTCGCGATGGAAGCCACGTCTGGTGCGTCTTGTGTCAGCATGGAAAAACTCAGGGAAGGGTCATACAACAAAGCTTTCCGACTCACTATGGCCGACGGCAAGGCGGTTGTCGCTCGAATTCCGAATCCGAATGCTGGACCAGCCTTCTTGACGACAGCATCAGAGGTCGCAACAATGGATTTCGTGAGCAACCTATCGACTATGCACGTTTCCGCGCTCATGAAATACTAATTTAACGCGACCCCTAGTTAAGAACAATACTCCAAGTCCCAGTCCCCAAAGTTCTTGCGTGGAATGCCACAGTGGACTCGGCGAACCGTGTAGGGGCGGAGTACATTATCATGGAGCATGCTCCTGGTAAAAACCTCGCAGATCATTGGGCTGATATGGACCTTGAGCATAAGGTCCAAACGATGAAGGATATTGTAACTATCCAACAGAAGTTGTTATCAGTGAGGTTTTCTGAGTAAGTACGGCTACGAGTCAATAACTAAAATCCTCTATCTAACCAAAGCAGATACGGGTGCCTTTTTTTCAGTAACGACGCGCCGCCGGGTTCTCATCCTGCAACAGTCCAAGGGAACGAATTATCACATGGAATTAGAGAAAATATTGCGGAACAATTTTCTATCGGACCAGTGGTCGACACGGAATTCTGGCGTAAAGAGCGAGGCGATATGGATATTGATCGCGGACCATGTATGCATGCCTGGCCATTTGTCTTTGACCCGAAACTAATTATTTATCAAGGGGCGTCTGCAGTGGACTACTTAAAGGCTCTTGCGCTTCGAGAAATAGCTTGGATCCGGAAACATGCAACTCCACGCTCTCCCGATGATCCATTATTCGTTTCACCCAGCCAGAACAACCCCACTGAACATATCTCTCTGCTCCACAGATATTTGTCTGCTGCTCCTCATTTGCTTCCCAAGGACGAAGACCTTTTGGGTTCTTTCTTGTGGCATACAGACCTTCGGACGCCAAATATTTTCGTCAACGACACCGGCAATATCACCAGCATTATTGACTGGCAGAGCACGTGGGCAGGCCCCTTGTTCCTGGAGGGCCGTCATCCCCATTTCCTCGACTATAACGGTGAACTACTATTAGAACTGCCTGAGAATTTCAAACAGCTTGACGAGAATACGCAAAATACCGTTAGGGACCAAGTCACCAAGTCTATCTTATTATACCTGTACGAAAAATACACGGCAGAAAGGAACCCGGTGTTGAACAGAGTTCTGCGGTATCCGAACGGCAAGATATTGACCGATCCGGTTCGGTTTGTTGGGAACACATGGAATGGAGACATCCTGCCATTACGAGAGACATTAATCAAGGTACAAAAGTGAGTACAGCAGCTGACCCTATTGTATTTTGATCGCTATGCTGAATATACTGGAAGAAAGTGGGACCTGTTAGATGGTACCAATGAGTGCCCGATCAGCTTCTCTCCGGAAGAAATTCACCGACATTACGAAGATGCAGAAGGTTGGAATGAAGTACAGGACTTTTGGGACGCCATATCAGGAATCATGGGCAGGGACGGCTGGACATCGCATGAGACATACGATCAGGCCAAGGCCATATATTCCGAAATTCAGGGAAAAGCAGCCGCTCAATCGAATCACGATGGGTAACTCGCCCCATGATCCAATGTCTAAAAACCCCCACTTCCCTGTCGTGCACATGGATAGCTTTTCCAGATATCTAGTTAGCTTTACATAATCGGTATGATGGGAGACTCTACTGGGTGGTCACCTAATAGTTCAGCATTCTCCGTCCTATCCTAACTAGTTCTACGTGCACGGTTATAATGCAAAGCCAATTGAATAGCACTAATGAGCACACAATAGCCAGGATCGAAACTACAGGGGCTATCACGATGGCAGCTCCAAGGAGGATCCTCCCAGCGAATCCACTAACCCGCTCCGCAGTCCATGGATGAGAGCAAAGAATGGGGATTGATTTGAGGACTGGTGGTTATTATACCGTAGTTCGGGGTGAGTTACTGGTAACCTCAATCTGGATCATAATTCATAGGTCTGAATAGCAAGGAACAACCGGTTCTTCAGTTCCTTTTCACCTAGTCTGAATCCATCTCCTGCCAGTCCAGGTACCCCGGTGCTGCCTTCATCTGCTCCATCAACGCAATTTCTGCCTTCTCTCTCTCCTCCTCCAGATCCTCCTCTGTCTCCACTTCCTCCAGAACCTTCATCTTGATTGATCTCTCGTTCTCGTCAAATATCTTCTTCAAAATCCCGTCAAGGGTCGTCGGCTTGATAATCTCGAGAATAGACCAGGCCAGATCGTCCGTGAAGTAGTACCGCCCCCCAGCCGATATCAAGCCGTAGTGCTCCCCTGACTCCGGGGTGGTGCACATGATGGGGACTGGGTTTTCAAGGCTGCAGCGCTTTGCCATCTTCACCCAATCTCCTTTGACTAGATATGACGTGAAGCCAGGGTCGGTAGTCCATCCTTCGGGGACTTCTCGGAGCTAGATCCTATTAGACTGGATAGCATAGACCTAGGAAAATGAAATCATAACTTACAGTTGGAGAGCGGCTCATGGTTGTGAGGTAGTAGTCTTTAGAGCTAGAGGTGAAGTAGAAAATAAAGACAGATGAAATATGGACAGGAGATAGTGACATAGTGTGCTAATATAAGCACTCTAGTCACATGAGTCATGACACTCATGTCCTTCACAATCAAAGCCCTAACGCAGCATGATGAAGTCCATAATCAATTATTTTTATAGAAAGATATGCCCTCTATTAATCATTGAGTCATGGATAACTGCACTAAAGGGAGAACTTACTATTACATAATAAATACTGAATAAAGCATGTTTGTATAGAAAGCTTAACTATGTATATATACCAGAGCTTATAAGACATAAAGATCACTAAACCTGTTATGTAGTTTCCCTGCTGATATACATTTATATTCATTCTCATTCTGCATAGATACTCTACAGCATGGTTTTCTGACCCTTCCATGCATTTTGTGATGTTTAATTCATAAGACACCTTCAGAGCCTTGGTCTACAGGCCTACTTCTCTACATAATATGTATTCTCCCTCCAATTCAGTAGTTAGGTAATAGTGAATGCTAAGGAGCAGTGAAAAACTATATGGATAATTTTTGCAGTGAATTTGCTGCATTCACCATATCCACTTTCTAAGCAGTATATTCACCACGTAGCATCCTTTTTGCCAGTCAACACTTTCTTGCTTTTCTGCTGAGCACTACTTACAACTCCTCCTCTCTACCGACATCGACACTTCCCTCCGACTCCTAATTCTGGTTGATCTCACACATTGTCTGCTGTCTCTCCTGAACCTTCAAATTCTCTATACCTTCTTTTGCGATAATCGCAGCCGAGAGAACGGACGCTAAGGCCTTATCGGTAGACAGCTGAATTTGAGCAGTGGCACCAGTTTTCCAGGCAACAAGTACATGAAACAGCCATACCATTTGCAAGAACTTGGGAGCTTGCTAACTATGAAATAGATCAACAACTTTCTAGACAATGTTCAGGCGCATCCTATCACGTTCAGCGCACTGACGGCAGTCACTACCGTGATGCGTCGTTGCGGCCTCGCCAACATGTCCAAAGGTCTTTGCATCCATACTGGCCAAGCCAGTATATAGCGAAATTCTATTCGAATGTCGAGTACTGGTCCTTGGCAGACATGCTGGGGCTGTTGCTGGGCCTTCTCAAGCGCAATTTCTATCTGCCACTCACGGCAATGCTCGGCAAATGGTGCCAGCGACTTTGTTCGATATGTCCCGAGTATTTCAATGTACTTGGAGTACTGCGGGAATGGCAGGTACTCGCTGGGAGCTAGTATGTCTGGATACAATGCGGAGAAGACCAGAACTGGGTCTGGCTAGCAGTGCTCAACCGGGCAAGATTCTTGGTGATTTCAACAGAGCGTTTAGACTCAGTGGTTGGTCGCAAGCCTGGTCACCAATTATTCACGGGCGTGGGAAACTCAAAGGCATACTGTTTGGACGCTGTGCCGAGACGTACCCTCTCCGTCTCATGCTCAGGTTTGCATAATCTATCCTCTTCACTAAAGGTCTAACTGACTTAGTTTAGAGACGCGGCCGACAAGCGCTCCATACACGGCTTGGCATTGTATGCGCAAGGTTTGTACGGAAGTGACATCTACGATGACCATCTCTCCGGTCCTATATGGACAAACACGTGGCACCCTTGCTCTCTGCAAGGCATTGATTGAGAATATGGGAGATTCGGTTGCAAATTTCAACAAGTACAACCGTCGGCAGGGTGCTCCTGGTTACAACTTCCCAAATTAGGATCGTTCGACATGTCTAACGAGAAACAACCGCGGGTACACTAAGGCACTGTGAAAACGAGAACAAATTGTTAAAATATAATACCACTATGACTATGGATATGAGACCCTAGACTGATGAGGATCATGCCCGGACGCCTTTTTGGCCAAGTGGTATTATAATTCAATACAAATCCTCTCGCTATCAGCCTCCAGACGCCCAACCAAACGCTGCGGGTTACGCGAGGAGTCATATTGATGGCGTGGCACTCAAAGGACAAATCTTTTGATCAATTCATAAGGTGGTGTAGAAGATACCAATTCATTGTCCTCTCTTACGGAGTACTCTGCGGATCATAAATCATACCTCCACATCCATAGATAGAAATCTTTTACCCTAGCCCTCCAGAGGCAGCTCCGCGACTTGTTATGCCATCATCCTCCATTCCAATCCCCTATTCCCCACTCGGCTCACTATACACATGGCCGAAAGGCACCGGCGTCCCAAAATTCGGGCTCCCATCGCTATGCGTCCCGAGCAACTGGACCATCGTGTACCGCGAATCATCACAAGCACCAGCACTATTGTTCGTAGCATGGTACGCGATCCACGTCTGCGTGGTATCCGGGCTCTGGAAGAACGAGTTGTGGCCCGTGCCATAGTTTCCGTTCGCTGAGGACAGCACACAGCCATTATGCTTGGTCCAGGCACTCGCCGACGTCAGGTTGGTCTCCCCGTCCCAGGTCAACAGACCGAGGCAGTAGTACGGTGTCCAGCAGTACGAGGCGGAGTAGGCGATGTAAGTGACGCCGTTGAAGTAGAGCGCGACGGGGCCTTCGTTGACGGGTGTGCCGTGCGTCTCGAAATCCAGGGTGGGCTGCGAGATGACGTGGATGTTGCCGGTGAGGGAGACATAGTCCGTGCCTAGCTGCTGCAGGCAAATGGACTGGTAGGTTACGCCGTGGAAGCAGGAGAACATGAGGAAGTTGCCGTATGCGTTGGTGCGGAGGACGGAGGCGTCGATGGACCATTCGGTTGTTAGTTGGCCGGTGTAGGCGAATGTGTCCCAGGGAGTGGAGCCGCCTGAACTGTTAGTTCTGTTGAACGGGAAAAGTATATGGTGTCTTACCGGTCAGAACATGGAGCCGTTGGCCGTCGAGATCAGTCGTTTCGCCGGCCGTGTAGTAGATGTACCACTTGCCGCCGAGATAGTGAACCTCGGGAGCCCAGAGATTGCAGCATTGTGAGGCAGTCGAGGTGGAGTAGACCACTTTCTTTGTGGCGGTCTTGAGACCCTCGATGGTGGTTGCGCGTGCCATCTCCACGTCCGTCCATGTCGTGGTCATCAGGTAGTAGTAGCCGCCAGTATACACCATGAACGGATCACTTCCTCCGGGGCTGCGTATGGGGTTTGTGAACGCAGAAGCTGCGGGAGCTAGAGCTAGGAGCCCTACGAGGGCCGTGACGATCTTGGAGAAGATACTCGCCATATTGGCGTTGCGTTATCGCGGATGATCCGCAGTGTATAGTCCTCATGCTGTATGTTGGTGCAATATTTATAGGACGTTTGAAGAGTCAGTGAGCTGCATCTAGGCAATTTGATATGTTCATAGTGTGGCTGGTCGATATTGACCCCCGCCGGAGAGTAGCTGCTTTGTATATGTTAGTCTCCGGATTTACCCCGGGATTCGTCATGAGGACCAGGGCCAAGCTGTGCCACAAGACGCTACGGAAAATCTACGCGGATTCGTTTTATCTTGAAGAGCTCTACTGGCGTTGACAAGGTCTGAATTGGTTGTGGCAGTCTTGGTTGCAGTAGTGGAGGTCCAATTCATCATTTCGCGAGCCACGATTAGAGGAAATATTGCTAGCTGTCTTCTCGGCTTATGCTAAATTATCTGCTGGGGCAATGGTGAATAATAACCAGAGGAGACGTCCGGAAAATGGTGGATTCGTGCAGTGGGTAATTCTATTCCGTTGACTCCATGACAGGCAATGTAGAATATCATCAACGGCCATGTACTGAACCACCCACTATGTATCAAAGCTAATAGCTGCCATTGCGGTTTGACCAGTATTGGTGACCTTATAAAACTTTATATTGATGGTGATTTGATACAGCATCCACACACCTACACACGTCCCGTTCCAGTAGCTCTATTGTAATGCGAAGCGGGTTCTATTTCCATCAGGACAGATCAGAAACCACTATTGGTCCATTGGCATACCAAACAATTCCTACTTCAAATCTCCTCGCTTCGTGTCGGGCTCAAACTCCATCACCTGGAAGCTCTTGATATCCGATTCCAATTGGGAGGAGCCGGCCTCTCCGATGGAGAATTCAAACTTCTCGCATTCGTCGTCCGAGAAGAACATAACCTTCTGATTCTTTGGCAGGTCGCTGACGGTCACTTCCTCGCCCTTGGCTAGGTTGGCAGAAGTGCAGTAATCGGGTTCGGAGCCGGCCCAGTATCCGGTGGTGACTTTCCAGGCGCTGGCAGCGAGGGGAAGGGCGAGAAGGACGGCGGCGAACTTCATGATGATATCTTGGTTTGAAATTGGTTCTGACAAGGTACGTCAGGAGAGAGAAGGAAGTGAGTGGTAGAAATACGTGGTTGATGAGCGGGAAAGGTGTTGTTTATATATATGGTTGGCATGGGGAGCCACAGCTGGAATTGAGATGTGGCTAGCTGAGAACATGCATAAAGATCACCCGAAAAATGGGAATTGTCTCAATGAGTCTGCAATGTACTTAAGTAGTTGTCATGTAAGGGATCATCATGTTACACAGATCCATAACCAATCACAATACCTTCGAGTGTGATCTTCATTGGGTTGTTTGTTCCTGCAGTGGTTGGCTGAATAGTTAATAGATTTGATTACCAGGCTGAGACTTGCATATGGCCCTCTTTTGGGCGTTTGATGCCTATAAAACATTGGATCTTGCCTGCTGGTAGAGTGTTTGGAAACATGACCCTGATTCACAGCAATTATTCCACCATCTTCTAAATCAGTGTTTTTAAAAATCTCAGCAACCGAAGAGCGCACGCAGAGCCGAAATGTTCATAGTCTCATAATGAAGCATGTATGTTCATTCCCAGGTTCTTGCTAGGCTCGAACGGTTCGGGAAACATCTACTTAATCACAGGCGTTCTCTTGGTCAATGTTCCTGCAGTTGTTTTAAGATGCAGGTACTAGTAAAGTAAGAGATGAATATTTCACCTATCAGAGCCCCCAATTTGCAGTCACGAGGCGAACTCTTGACCCTAAAGACTCACTTCCATGCAAGGGGTGGATTCTGCTATGTTGGCAAAGAATGAAAAGCCCGTCGGCTGGGTGGACATTCCTCGGGACATATATCCCACAATGCTATTTTATGGATAATGAGCCTCAATAAAGACGGGGAAATCCAGTGTTGGTGGAGCTTAATCTGCTGGCTATGGAGTTGTTTATGTCAGAAGGTTTACTATATACTGATGAATTGTTCTAGGTATCGGGTATGGGTTGGGATGACGGAAGAAGTGACTATTTCTGCCTTTCATTTGTGGGTGAAGGTTTTGACAAATGTCTAGAAGCGACAAGACTACGCCGACTACAGCAAGGATACGGAAGAGATTAGACTATGATCCTTGAAGACAGACTTCAGTATTAAAAATATAGCTAGAACAAACCCAACACCACATCCACTACATCAGACGTTACTTGTCAAAGACAGAGATCAAGCAGGCGACTTGCCAGTAACGGTCTCGTGGTACGTAGCCTCAGCCTCGACCTCCTTCTCGACCTGGTGCAGATCAATATGCGCAACGGCGTCCTCGCCGTCGAAGATCCGTGCCACCTCCTCAAGGGTGTTACCCTTGGTTTCGACGTAGAAGAAGTAGACAAAGGCCAGCTCGCAGAAGTTCCAGAGGGTGTAGAACAGCATAAAGTTCCAGTGGTGGGGGAGGTTGGTCCAGGCGACCATGTTGGTCTGGTTACCGAGGGCAAGAATAGCCTGGACGGTGATGTTCAAGATCATCATACCCTTGGCACGAAGGTGGAAGGGGAGGACCTCGAGGCCGTAGGCGATGAGCAGACCGGAGAAACCAATGTCGTAGAAGACGCCGAAGAGCCAGATGAAGACGACCTGTGCGTAGCCGGATCCGCTGTTGGTCTCGCCGGAGTTTTCGTAGACGGCACCGGTGATGGTCCAGCACACGAAGGCGCCGACCATGCCTGCGACGGTTACTTTGATGATGGAAAGGACGAGTTCAAGGGAGACAAACCGGAGATAGAGGTCAGGAACAGAGGACGACGACCGAAGCGATCGACCTGCGTGGCGGCGGTGACCGTGACAATGATATCGAGGAGGGTCTTGCCGGTGCTCAGGGCCAACTTCTGGTTCTGGCTGGTGATGCCGGCACCATCGTAGATCTGGTTCATGTAGTTGGAGAACAGAGCATTACCCGAGTACTGCGAGATGACACCCAGAGAGACGATAATGGCCAGACGCCACAGGTTACCCTTGGTGCGGAAGAAGTCAATGTAGCTGCTCGCAGAATTGGCCTCCTTCTCCAGGCGAATGGTCTCCTTGATCTCACGGTATTCGAACTGCACGACGGTATTGAGCACGTCGCCACCACCGTGGTATTTGGTCAGAACAGCGAGGGCCTCTTCGTGGCGGTCCTTGTCGATGAGGTAACGAGGAGATTCGGGGATCCCTAGAGGTCGCTCCGGTTAGCAATACTCTACGAATAAAGCGGTACAGACGATGGGTTACAGTAGATAAAAATGAGCTGGATGACCGAGGGAATAATCTGCAGCAACGTGATAGACCGCCAGGACCACTCGCTCTGGACGTACGAGGTACCCCAACCAATGACGGAGACGAGCAGAGCACCGGCGTTCCAGAGACAGTTGTAGATGGTAGTAACGGGACCACGGTGCTGAGGATGAACGATCTCCACGAGCAGCAGGGGAGAGCACATCTGGGCCAGGGAGTTGCCGAAACCCAGGATGAACCGACCAGCGATGTACATGTTGTAGCCGGTGGAAGCAGTGCCGACGATACCTCCGATGATCATGAAGATGCACCCGATGATGATGGCGATTTTACGGCCAAAGCGATCGGCAATGTATGGACTGGAGGTTGGCGTTAGAATTTCCTGCTCATGGCCGGGGGCTGGAGAACATACCTGATGAAGAGACTGATAATGGAACCAATATTGAACATGTTGACCAGGAGACCCAGCCAGTTGCTCTCCTTCACCTTGGGGGAGAAGAAGAGGGTCCAGTTGTCCATCATCTGCGAAGTATTGACAAGCATACTATCATTGAAGCTGGTTAGTTCTGTAATTGCTTTGTCCCCAGCGGAGTACATACCCATCGTAACCGGTGGTGGCCGAAGCAACCATCAGCGCCGCCGTCAACAGGTACAGACTGCGCAGGTGAGGCTCCCTCTTCCAGTCGACTTTCTCGAACTGGGGAGCCTCAGCCTGGGCGAGCTGCACCTTTTCCTGAGCGCCCTTGGCGCCAATGCTGGCGATCTGAACCATTGTGACTGTGTTGCAAGCAAATGCACCTCTGGGACGAACACGAGAGAACTGATCAAGAGCGAGAAAATGGCGGGGTAGCAGCTACATATTATAGCACTGAATGCTGGGGAGAAACACGAGCATGGAGCACGCTGCCCTTGACCCGGCTTGGTCAAAGCTTGGGACGAAGCAAAGCATAACAAAAGGGCTGCAGGAAAAATATGGACGCCACCAGGTGGCATGAGTGATTGGTGTGATGAATTGAGCCGGAGACTACCTTGTCTACAGTGTCTAGCGTGATATCCGGGGAACAGCAAGAACGAACTGGATAAAAAGGGTGTTGCCGACTGGGATCAGAAGAGACTAAGCGAGCAGTGCCCATGAGGTGATTGGATTGATCCAGCAAGCCAAGGAGCGCCTGGACAAGCTAATATCATGGCCAGAGTGCTTGGCGTCTCGCTTGCGTTGACAGGCTTTCGGCTGGACGGGCCGCATCCTTTTCGTCCAGCTCTGTCAGTCTGTCTGCTGTTGAGAAGTTTGTGTGATTGAGAAGTGCAGGATACAGGTCAGCCGACCCTTCAGAAAAGTTTGCATAAATTAAAAGTAGGTTAGATTAAAAGTGGGTCAGCTGACCCTATACTAGATAATAGATAAATATCCTACTTCTTAATAATAATTTTATATTCTATAATAATTTTTGAACTTTTACATACCTTATTATCTTAACTAGTTAGTAACTAGTTCAGGATGTCATCATTAAATAACTTCTATAATCTTAAGAATAATCTAATATTAATTAATTCTCTTCTTAATTTATCTTTACTTACACCTGAATCAGAGTTTAATAAATTATCTAATAAGATAGATAAAGATATTTTATATAATTATAATATTATAAGTAGTATTATAGAAAAAGTAGTAAGAATAAATATATATATCTATCTATATCTAATTAGTTTAACTAGTTACTAACTAGT